GTATTCTTGAATTTATATAAGGCAGAAGAAAAAAAATAATAAAAAGGATATCTTTATATCTTGTTTTTAAAATTCAATAAAATCATAACTCATTCTGTATTTGACCAAAATAAAGTATGAACATTATTAAATCCACATTTCAGAGAATGTAGACATCATTCAGAATTTACCTTAACTTCAAAACAAACTTAATTTGCAGACAGAGGTGTTAATTAATCTCAATGTGACAGATAAAGATTAATGCTTTGGATTTTCTTCAAGAGGAAAATTAATCCCAACTCATTGCAGCCTGTCATAGTTTACAATAGGAACATTCTCAGCAGTTATCTCTCTTTACCCATTCACTCTTATATAAAGTTAAGGAATCTACCCCCACCAACCCAGCTCCGAACCCGATGACATAGAGAACCAAACTTAGTATCAAAATATGTCTTACTGCCTATACAACCTTCATACCAAATTTGAACTTAATTGGTCAACCCTTTAAAAAAGTTAGGACCCCCCCCCCCCCCCCCCGAAAATCTATGGACGGAAGACAGACAGAGAGACAGAGTGATTACTATTAGGCATCCGCAAGTCCTTGCGGGGCCCTAATTAATTCAATGTAGAGGTAGTCTTAATTCTTTTTCAAAAAGTGACAAACGTAAATAGTACAGAATTGCTGAATATGCGAGGGATGGGATTGAGGTTGAGATAATATCATTTTATTTGTATATTTCAAATAAACTTGCTCCAAAGTTCCGAATATTTTGGATATTACATAATGTACTTTAGAAATACAGATATTGCATGTGTAAAAACTTTGTTACTTTGTCATTTTATTGTCCCCGCTTTCACTGAAAGTGGGGATATCAACTTGGGTCTGTCTGTCATAACGACTCTCTATGGCCTAAAGAAGACCCTTATTGATTTTGAGGTCAAAATATCAAAGGTCAAGGTCAGAAATTTATAAATTTTGTCAGTTTTATCACTTTTGTTTCCGGGCGATATCTGGAGAAGCCTTTGAGCTTTTCCAATGACATTTCATACCTCAACTCCCTATGGCCTAATGAAGACCCCTATTTATACCAATATGCACAAAGTATTTGGATCCGCATCCAGTTTCATACAAGCAGTTGTGACGTCTGGACGTTACAAGGGCAAGTTGAAATCTGTGATCTTTTCAGACAAAGCACAAGTATTTGTTGGTCAAACGAAAAATAAGTATTTAGAAAAAAGGCCAGTAAGATGTGTGAATAACACGGAAAGCACAAATATGCACAGAGAATTTGGATCCGCGCCCAATTACATACAGCATTTATGACGACTGGCGTGTTCAGATCTTCTCATGAATCATTATTACAGAGTGATAAATATTTTTTATAAAAAAATCTTCTGTACACATTTTGAAGAATTAGCAATTGGCATTTACAATGTGAAAAATTTATATAAGAAAATCGTTATGTAGCTGTTTCTATTAATGTGGTTATATAATTAAAACAGGACAGCATGATTTAAATACATTTACAGTAACTAATGGAATATGGCATTAACTTGTTTAATGTTAAACACTCATCTTTAAACCTTTTAGTGAAATAAGTAGCAAGATATTTTAAGATCGGTTTGCGTTCCTACATATGATTTTTTATATTTGGCCTATCATGCAAACAAAGTACCACTGATGGTGTTATTCGGACAAAAAATGTACCACTCGTGGAAGTATGTCAAACAGGCAGTGTACATCTACCACTCGTGGATTTCTAGTCAGCTGATTTTGAAAACGATTTGACTGATAAAAAGTAGACGTAAACGGATGCACAGAATGAAACTGCACCATTCAGGCAATAAATGATCGCTAAAAGGTCTTGAAAGGTGACTGAATCACAGAGTTCTGCCTTTTAATCTACCTTTTAATAAACTTTGTCACTTTTCAGTTAAATGAATGACATCTTGTGAAGGTCAGATGATTCATTTATTTCTAAGAAAACGTAACGCATTTCTATAGAATTATTTCATACAGTACTGGAATGACATAGACAGAAACCGGAGTCACAAGTTCGATTGATTGATTGTTTGTTGTTTAACGTCCCAGGCCCGTAGGAAGCAATTTCAGTTTGGGGGGGGCACAGCCAAACATTTTTCAGTTGACAATTGAGGGGGCACTACTAAAAATTTTCTGACAAGCAAAAAAAAAAAAAAAAGGTCATCAGGCGGTTTTATTGAGGGGGCACATGCTTATAGTATCTATGTTTACTATAGTAATCTATATATCGGCAAAATTATTGGGGGGGGGGCACGGCCCCCCCGTGCCCCCCCCCCCCGGTTCCTACGGCCATGCCGTCCCATTCGAGAATTTTTCACTCATATAGAGACGTCACCATATACTGTTGAAGGGCTTCAAATTTAGACCTTTACTCGGCACTTAGGGCCATTGAGCAGTGAGGGATCTTTATCGTACCAACGCGTACCGTGACACGGGGCCTCGGTTTTTAAGGTCTCATCCGAAGGACCCGCAACTTTCACTTCAAAGTGCCGAGCACTTGGCGTAGGAACAGTTGCTACCTATTTTTTATCGACTTAGGTCAGTCGCGGCCGAGATTCGAACTCACGTCATAAGTTCCAATACATAGAGTAAATACTGTTTTCATACTTACTTTGTTTGCAAAATCCAAGAACCCGACTTAAAACGTCTTCCTAAGTGTTTTTATATTGTTTGAGAATACTTTGTACTTTTCAATCTGTTTTTTCTTAACATAATTTTATTTGTATCAAATGACTTCTCAATTCAGAATACCATCCATGTATCACCTCCAAATAATACAAATAAAAAGGAAACGGAATTATTTCAAAATGATATTTTTATTATTCCCCCGCTCCGAAGGAGAGGGGGTATACTGTTTACCCTTGTGTGTCTATCTGTGTGTGTGTCTTTCCGTAACAAATTTTCGTCACAGTTTTCTCAGCAATACTCATGGCAGATGCTTGAAATTTTAGCAAACATTTTGTTGAGGCATGCCATATGGTGGGATTCATTTTCGTTTGAATCCGATGTTAACTTCCTGTTCATCCGTGCGTCTGTCCATACCATACATAACAAATTTTTCGACACATTTTTCTGAGCATCTACTCATTGCAGACGCTTGAAATTTTTTAACACTCTTTACGCATACCATATGGTGGGACTCATTTTTGTACGAATCCTATATCAACTTCCTGTTTATCCGTGCGTCTGTCCGTACCATACATAACAAATTTTCGTTGCCGTTTTCTCAGCAACTTTTTATTGCAGATGCTTGAAATTTTAGAGCACTCTTTGCTGAGGCATGGAATATGATGGGATTTATATTTGTACGAATCTGATGTCAACTTCTTGTTCATCCCTGTGTCTGTCCATAACTGAACTTGTTTACATTCACATCATAGTGTATATTCACATCAAAGCGGGGGTATTACTAGTGAGCATTGACTCACAGACTTCGTGTTCACTCTCATATTTACATTGTTAAAAATATATCATTGGGTGAAATAAGCAGTTTCCCATCATGGGAAACTATACGGAAACCACATGGAAACCTCAAGTTTACATCATGTTTCCCAGTGGTTTCCGCAGCGGATGCCAGGTTATTCCGTCAAGTTTCCGTGGCACGGAAACTACTACGCTCCGATTCCATTAGGTATCCCGAACCACGGAAACCTCGGGAAACCTGAAGTTTCCCAAGCCTCCATGTAGTTTCCCGTAATGGGAAACCTGAAGATTCCACTGGTTTCCATAATTAGGAAACTACGTGAAATCGGAGCGTAGTGGTTTCCATGGAATTGGGAAACTGGATGGAATCCTCAGGTTTCCCATGAACGGAAACTAGAGGAAACCTCATGATTTCTCAAGTTTCCATGACTCAGGAAACTACATGGAATTCGAGCGTAGCCATTTGGTGGAATTATCTGGTGTCCTATAAAAGGAAATTACAGGGAAACTTCAAGATTCCCTTAATTTTGTGAGACGGGAAGCAATGTGGAATTGTGGTGTAATAGTTTCCATACCATGGAAACTACAGGGTAGGTTGAGCATTTCAATTTTGGAAAATGATTGACAGGCAACTGGAAGCTCAAGGATCCCTGTATTTTCCATGGTAAATCTTTCTTTTCTAGAATGTGAAAAGAGAACAGCAGTTTTAAATCAAAATATATATTATTATTAACTTCCTTGGTAAACGGTGTTTTCTTTTCAAAATCTATTAAAAAATGTATAATGAAGAAAAAGCATTATCAAATCATATGTTTAATAATTCATTTGATGTACAAAAACATTATTTTAAAATTATATCAAAATAAATAAAATCATATATCTTAGGTAAACAATGTAGTAGTCTTTCACATCTAAGTCCATTCATAAACTTGATTAAATACTCAGTGCTTCTTTGAACATCAGCTTCCCTTGTATTTTCTTCACATCATCTGCGATCTGCAATATATTTTCATAAAAAATTATTTTTTGTAAGAATTGTATGCTTGAATATTATTTAGAAATCTGTCAAGATCACTCAATGTCCTTTAATGTACCAGTATCGGTGATTAGTTTCAGTCTTTAAATTTAATGACCATAAAATCATAATAATGAACATTACATAGTACATGTAATGTTTTAAGCCAGATAAATATCAAAGCAGGTATGATTGAGAATATGACCATCTCCTAGAACACTGCTTTTAGTTGAGTCAATTGGAGAGAAATGTGCTCTGGACAAGGATATTACAAAAATTTTTTTCTTATTAATTGACATTAGACCTAGAAAATTAGTTAAAGATCACTACACACCCTTCATCCCATGGCACACAATCCAGATCATACCAAGGGAGAAAAATTATGCTCTGGACAAGGACTTTAAATAAAGATATATAGTGTATTTTGATACTGACCTTTGACCTAGATAATTGGTTCAAGGTCGCTTTTTACCCTCCATCCAGGGGCACTCTACGAGTTAAATTTGAGTGAGATTGGGCTATGAGGAGAGAAAATATACCCAGGACAAGTGATATCAGATGGACAGACAGATCATCTCATGGCATCCACAGAACAGGACCCTAAAAAATCAATGCATATATATGTAAAGCTATATCCATACAAGTCAATATGAATTCATCATATGTTGCATTGCATACACATGCTTTAATCATGTTTAATACCTATGAATAATTTCAAATTGCATGTACACTCAGTTTACATACAAATAATCTAAATGTCATCAAAGACGACCAACATAACAGCCATTCAAGATTTAGTTAATTAACATTCAGTACAAGTTCCATATGCTATATGTACAGACACATACTAGTATTATTTACCTGCATTCTAAATCTTGTTTTCTGTCACTGAAGATTAAGGCAATAGTCATTAACCTATTTCAGCCCCAATTTACATACATGCAAGGTGTAATGTTTGTTCAAGACTTCCCATTTATAAATATTACCTTATAGTATGTTTAGTTAACATATACCTACAGTTAAAGCTTCAATGTGTTTCACTGAATATTTTAGAAATTACAGTCATCAAAATACTGACCAGCCAGAAATCAGTAAATGTGCATGTCCTTATTTTTCATTCTTGTATTGTTTCATTTCACATGTTTCAATGTTAAAAAGTTTTAGTAAGTTATAATATTTACTAATTTATCATAGCCATACAGTTGAAATTTGGCATCTCAAACACAGACATCTCAAATACCATAGATACATGTATGTTGAAGTAATTTGGAAGTATTCTTTAAGCATTTTACTCCTGATATCTTGAATCCTCAAATATCTCAAAATATTTTCAATGATTGAATTGAACTTTGAACCATGGCAAAAGGACTCTTAACAAATATTCATTATTCTTAAAATAACGTCTACTGGTTACACAATTATAAGTTGCTCAACAAGGATCATATCAATAATATTTAAGAGAGTTGATCATTTCCCCTTGGGGTGAAGAGGGGGGGAGGGGGGCTTCCTCTGTACAATTTAGAATATCCTTACTTTGTGTCAACCTTGGTTAAAATTAGTGGTTCTTGGAAAGAAGTTAAAGATGTGAAAAGCTCACAGATGGATAGACAGTTTGACGGACAAAACACAAAACAAAAGGTGATCAGAAAAGTTCACATGAGTTTTTAGCTCGGGTGAACTAAATTCCTCAGTGCATGGTGTATATTATGCGAGATATCATCCAGACAGAAAATTTTATAGAGGAGTGAAAAAGAAGACTCCAATCCATAATTTTACATAACCTCTTGTAGTTTGCAATTGGTATTCCAATTAAACTCAAGTTCTTTTCTTTTCATGCAATTGTTATACATGCCTATTTATGATTGAATTAATTACCACTTACCACATGATCACATCTTGATTCATCATACATCTTACTGGTTCTCCTTTAATGTCAGTTTTCTTCTCTCTGAAAGAATATATTATGTACAATTACTATTGCATTCTGATTTCACCTATAAGATCAACAATAAACAAGTGTCCCATGGGCCACATTGCTCACCTAAGCACTTTGGGTATGAAAAAATATAAATCAGTTCAGTATTGAAAAGTTTAAATATAAAAGTGGTTGGGGGGGGGGGGGAATTCTACACTTTCTAAGGATGCTTTTGAATATGACACATATTAGCATTGCTGTTCTTAAGAAGAAAATCCTTATTATTCCTTTGTATAATTATGATCCCCTGTTATGGCCCCTCTATTTTCCTGGGGGGGGGGAGGGGGTTCAAGATTTAAATAAATTATATCTACATTACTTCATCGCCCGTGTATATAAATATGACCAATCATGGCTTTGTTGTTCTTGAAAAGAAGAATTTCTCTAAGATTTTTCCTATGTACTTTGATCATTCATTGTGGCCCCGTCCTACCCCGGAGGTCATGATTTGAACAAACTTGACCGCCATCAATAACTGATGATTGTAATTTAGATGATTCATTTGCATTACTTGAAATACTATCAAAAATTATCAATATTTGTACATCATGTAGGCTTATTATTTTTAACATTTTCAGTAAATCTCTCAGCAGGTCACACATGAGAAATTTTGTCTTTTGAACAGTAAACTGTTTCAATTTACAATCTATCACTTGTTTGTTAAACAGTTGTTATATTATTATAGACAGTGTACTTTAAAACCAATAAATTTTCCCTATACAAATCATCACTATGCATATCAATAAGGGTTGTGCTATGGCTTTGTAAGATGTATATGTACTCTAGTTACAGACAATCTATTTAAATTGTTCTTATGATTCTTCATAATTTGTAATAATATCTGCCACATAAAGGCGTTTTATCTGTGTCGGATTACAATAGTCAGAACTCTCTCTTTCAGCTGTCTTTTAAATTTCCATTGATGATGATGTCTTTCGTGAATAATCTGATGATAAGTTGAGATTGCTGACACCTTTTGTTTAAATATTAATGACTTAATCGTAATTTAGTATCAGAAATAATTCATTTATACCTTGTCGTTACATCATAAAAAGTTCCAAAAGTCTAACAAGTTCATGAAGTTGACGATTCGAGAACACATGTATTCAAACCGGATATATGTTTTGTCTGTATTAACAAGGAAACCATATTCGGCACAAACATTATTATCCGATTTAACAACGAAAAAAAATTCAAACACTTTTCATTTATATACATAGAGAGAGAACTATCATAGTAAGCATTCATTTTCACAAAAAAAAATAATAATCTAAAAATGCAAAACGTACAGCATGGAAAAAGACAAATGTGGTGCCATAGGGTCTAGCTATACAAAGTCTACTATCTGCATCTTTGATCGTAAAACACTAAATATTGTATAATTCAAGTTTCTCTTTTCGTTTTTGCAATGTGTAAACTAAAATATTTAAAACTTAGATATCAAACATTTCAAAATGGCGTCAAAACGAATGTGGTCTTCGATGGGAAAGATTTGTTCTCCCATTATTACTATTATTTACCGTAAAAAAAGTATATAAAAATATACGTACACTAATCCTTGGTTGTTGATCATTGCATTTTTCACAGTTTTAAAGACACTGGGTGGCGAAAACATCATTAACTTTTCACATTTGCACCTTACACCCGAGTTCTTCTCCGTCTTGTTCAACTCCAAAAATGGCGCCTCGTGAAAATTGACCAATGAATAAAGCCTCTGCAGAGCGATGCATTATGGGAAACAGAACCTATTTACTTTAATTATGTTAGAGGGTAAAGTTTTTATATATAATATAATTTCCCTATGACGGTGATTATGAGTTCTTATCCTTAATGAAGTTCTTCTCTGTTCATAGAAAGGGGGGTGATCCTCAATAAAGTTGCTGATAATTAGTATACTATAGAAAACGAAGCGTTTATCTGAGGGTGACCAGAGAAAGTTTATGTGTCTGGTGTGACCCCTCAAATTATATGACTTGGGGGTGGGGCGGGGGCTTGGAACGTAGTGCCAATCCAAACAGAAAATGTCCGCTTGCCCTCTCCCTTCCCACACTACTTTTTCATTAAATTATTCATTATTCTGATTAATGTATAATGTCACAACGGAAGATGTTAAACCTTTATACATGTATACATGTTTTAAAATTGGAAGTTTCAACAGGAACCCTTGAAGGAACTACCGTCAGAAATTGAATAATTGTTGAGGACCGTAGAAAATGGGGGGGGGGGGGGCGCATTGTGGACGTGCCATACTTCCCTAATCATATTTTTTGCAGTATAGGAAGCAAAGCTTATTTCCTGTTGCGACCCTCAAAATGAACATGATGACTCTTTATCAGCTGTTTATTATTTTTTGACAAGAATGTTGTTGTCCTTTGAAGTCTGCCGTAAATTTCGATTGGCATTTGACATGCAAATGAACTACATGACATGTATACGGAACAATATTTTATTTTTAGTGATGATGGAAAAGTTCGGCGTCAAAAATTGCTGTTTAGTAAAAGGAATTAGGGTATGTTAGACTAGTATACACTTGTGAAAATCAAGACAAAATAATTTAATTACCGCCAAGGACGGTTCAAGAATAATAAAGATTTGATTTTTTTTTCTCTTATTCGGCTTTAGATACTTTATTGAACCCCTTCCTTTTTTGGTTTCGATTTTGAGCCTCACTTTATCAATAAGAATCAGTGGACAAATTGCTGGACTTTTTCCTATTTGCTATATTTTACTTGAAACATCTTTGGCTTTAGTTAAAAATTTCTCACACCGTTTTAATGTATCAGAATTTTTCACATTTAATTTGAAAATTGATTTATAAAGAAGGAGAGTAAACACAAGGTGAAAAAAAAACGAACCAATATCTAAGCAAAGGTAGGGGAAACGTGCAGTATTTTAATTTGAAAAAACACCGGCCTGTAGAATGCGAGAACGGGGGTGGGGGGAGGGGGCAGGGGGTGAAATTAAATGATTTTTTTTTTTGGCTTGTCAGATTTCTTTGGAAGTCCCCCCCCCCCCCCATTTTGAAACTGTTGTTACAGACCTGAAACACATGATAAAAATAAGCCCAGAATTATTGTAGATAACCTACAATCATGTCCATTGCATTCAGAAATTTAGTTGTGACTGGTAACAATTTGTCAATATTTGATCATCTGATTTGTTGGAAAATAATGCCCGGTGTATACTCGTTGATGTGCAAGGCTGTATAAACATGTATAGCCGTTTAGCCAGTACCGCCCTGTATCTTTCATATATAACTTTTTCCCTTTAATTTCTGGTAAGGTTTGCTAGTTAAGAACTTTCTAGTAAGTTTTGCCCCAAATTGAAATTACTTTCATACAGGCCTGTAGTTTGAGTAGACAGTTTTAAGTGCAGTTTTTTTGTTTTTTTTTTTTAAATAAGTAATGTTACATGTCGGAGTATAAAAATCAAGAAATGGCGTATATAAGGAAATGTTTGTACATGTAGTAGTATTGACAATCACCACATCAGTATATAATACCTATATATCGAAAGAAACTATTTTCTCTCCATTCTTTGAAGAAGGGGAGGGGGCTTAAATTTGTAGGGGTAACCTTCTGCTTAACACAATGCACGATTTAAAAGAATATCTTCGCTAAGCATCTACGTGTAAAACTATTAATAAATTATTGGTTTTTTTTCCTTCAATGAATTGCCTTAGCATGCAGTTCTTCAGAAGACGTTATTCTAAAGGAAAAGAAAATCATTTAAATAAATATCATAGACTTTTCTTTATTTAGAGCCAGCATTGGTCTTTGTGTACAAAATGGCTAAATCAAATATACGTGCATGTATGCATTTAAGACCAACATTATTGTAATTTCATGCGAAAAATGAAGACATTTACTACATCAGGGTCTGTGTACAGATATAAAAAATATAAGTTAATTAGTTAACACTCATTAATTTTGTATACGAATATTATTCTGCTGTTTTATCTTATCAATGTCTTACAGGCAACACATTAAAGTGGATAATTAATCATTCTTTCTATGTTTTCAATATCTGAAGTTTACATTGATGTCAAACAAGGACGATCGTTAATTACCGATTAAAAAATTTAATTTCATTTATCTATTCACTTACAGATTTCTTTAAAAAAGAATTATGATTTAACACATAACGAGAATTTAGATTTATTCTAGACCGATAGAAAAGTATATATGATTTTTAAACGGTGAGGAAATTTCCTTTTTTAATCAGTAACGAAAATATAAATACATTTTTTTCCCTTTTTTTATTGAATATCTTAAAATTAATGTAGCTTATTTTATCAATATTTTGTGATCTTATTGATAATTTAAATTATTTTTTTAAATCAAATCAATGGCCAACAATTATCGCCTAGATTTAGACTGAGTTTGCGGAGACTAGGTGTATGTACATGCTTTACCACAGCCTATTGTTCCCCTTAGGTAGAAAATCCTCTCAAATAACAGAATATACAAGAAATATACAGTCGCAGGTGTCTTCGCGACACGTGTCTCCACCTGTGGCACGTGAGAACAGGTGCCCGCGATTACAAGGGTCATCGCAATGATTGAATTTTATCTGACCAGTTTACACTGATTTTTCAAAAATAAATGTTGTATTAAATCTTCTCTATTAATTCCAGTCCACGTGTCTTAATGAGTTTTACCGAGACTAAAATGTTAAAAATTATTTAATTTGGGTTTACGGTCACAGAATGCTCAATTTTAGTACACAGAATTACACAGAGTTTTTTTTAATTATTCTTTTGATACACGTTTCCAAAATGTCTATTATCGGGAAAATAGGTGTAAACCACAGCATACGTGTTTTCCATATCAGGGAAACATGCTGCAAACTACAGGTTGATTACTTCCATATCGGGAATCTACGTGGAAACAACTACTGCATGTTTCCACGGTTTCCAATATTGGGAAACTTATGGGAAACCATAGGTTGACTGTTTCCATATCGGGAATATACGTGGAAACCACTATGTGGTTTCCATAAAATGGAAACTATATGGAAACTACTTATGTCACGATTCCCATATGTTTCCATCGGGTTTCCAAATTTGGGAAACCTGGCTTTTCATCCTGTGTATATTAGCAGAAAAATTCAACATATTTTTTTAACATATTTTGCCAATACAGTAAATATGTAGTTCTGCTGTTTACTGGTTAGAGTATATGGTATCCTTTGACTCTTAATCCTGTGTCTAGATATACTAGTATTCCAATACAGCTGCATGGATTACCTTTTACTCAGTGTGTGGTGAATGCCATTAGGAAATGTATAACATACAGTGCAGGAAACTAGTTTTGTTACAGCATCGATGCTGATTTGAATGCTTCCTTTGCTTGCTGATTTGAATGCTTCCTTTGCTTGCTGATTTAATGCTAGTAATCCTTATCCTGATGCTGTTTTATAATTAGGTCAATGCTACCGGAAGTAGCATCATGCTACCGGAAGTAGATAATGAATTTCAGCATTGCCGTTTAAAGCAATAAAAGTGCCTTTTACAATTATTTGATCATAATATCTCACTATGTATTAATAATGTGAATACTTTAACCAATATTCTTTCTTTCTTTTTTAATTTTTTACTGAATTAAAACTCATTGATTTTCTGATGCTAGTAGGATAATGCTGATTTTATGTAGGTCAATGCTGGTTTTATCCTTTGCTTGCTGATGCTGATCCTGGTAATGCTGTTTTTTAAATGCTGATGCTGATGCTAGCTCGATCCTGATGCTACTAATGCTTATGCTGATGCTGGTTTATGTAACAAAATTAGTTCCCTGCACTGTATTTCACACAGCCGGACGATCTCAAAATATGGAAATCAAAAGCGATAACTGAAATTAGCATTATATATATATCATATACATGCCAATTCAGACGACTTTTTGCACACCCCAAAACATATTTCAAAGGGACTAAAAGAAAAAAAACGTGCTTTTTGACAAAAAATCTTAAGAAGTAAGATGAAAAGTTTATAAAAATAAGGTATTCCCCACTTATTTACCGTGAACTTGACATTTTCGTCCCGGAAAGTGCTGCACCGTCACTAAAAATACATGCCACTATAGTTAAACT